GAGCCCACGAAACGTGGAATTGTCATGAAACTTCAGGCAGGAGCAGCCGGGTCACCTTCGGCGGATACCGCATGATTGACAGCATCGTTTTGGGGTCCCTGTTGGGGGGCGATGGCTGCGGAAGTCATAGACAGAAAGAGCTCCTTTGTACAAGCTCTGCTTGGAGCATCAATCACGCAGTGTTGAAATCATGTGCGTGAAAAAGCAACATGGCATAAGCAGGGCACCCGCAGGACATGATCAGGGGAGAGGAGAGTAGGACTCATATTAATTAGTCACAGAAGGAGGGGGCACAGTGGAGAAGGAGGAGGAGGAGAGAACAGGAAGAGGAGGAGGAATAATAATGGATGAGGGGAAAGTGAAAACACGCACACGCTCATACACAAACATCTATAGATGTTGCATGTATGCATGCATGCATGCCTGTATGAATGTATGTATGCATGTAGGTGTGTGTATGCATGTATGTACGTATGTAGGTGTGTATGGGTGTATGGGTGTATGTGTGAATTCATATGTGTGTGTTTGTGTACATGTGGACGTATGCATGTATATTTGTGTGAACGGTTGTATGCCTGTATGTTTCGTATGCAAGTATGTATAGACATGCATGTGCGGATGTAGGAGTGTGTGTGTGTATGCATGCATGTACATATGTATGTATGTGTGTACGTATATATATATATACATATATGAATGAATGTATGCGTGTATGCACGCATGCATTTATCTATGCCTGCATGAATGCATGTATGCGTGTGTATGTACGCGTGTAGTTTTGTATGTATGTATGCATTGATGCACGCATGCATGCTTGTATGCATGTATGCACGTGTGTGGGTATGTATGTGTGCATGCACGCATGCATGCAATCTATGTATGTGCGCACGCATGTATGTATGTACGTATGCATGCATGAATGTATGTCTGTCTGTATGTATGTATGTATGTATGTATGCATGCACGCATGCATGTATGTATGTATGTATGTATGTGTATGTATGTGTGCGCAGGTGTGTGTGTGTGTGTGTATTGCAGTGCATGTATGTACTGTATCAATGTATGCATGTATGCATACATGCATGCATGCATGTATGCATGCACATACGGCCGTACGTATGTCTCCATGTATGTATGTATGTATGTATGTATGTATGTATGTATGTATGTGTGTGTATGTATGTGTGTATATACTGCATGCATGTGTGTGTGTGTGCATGCATCGATTGATGGTATATGTGTTTTCTATATCTATATATGTATCTATCTATCTATATATCTATCTATCTATCTATCTATCTATATATCCATCTATCTATATTTCTATATATACCTATATATCTATCTATCTATGTATTTATCTATCTATCTATCTATCTATCTATATATCTATTTACATATATATATATATATTTATCTATCTACCTACCTACCTACCTACCTATCTATATGTCTATATATCTATCTATCTATCTGTATATCTATCTATCTATCTATCTATCTATATATCTATCTATCTATCTATCTATCTATCTATATATCTATCTATCTATCTATCTATCTATCTATCTATCTATCTCTATACACATGTATATCTCTATGACAGAGCGTGTTCTACCGCTGCTGGCGGAAAACCGGGGGGGGTCACTACCGGTTCGAACCCCTCCCCCCCCCCTTCCTGCGGAAAACCGGGGGGGTCACTACCGGTTCGAACCCCCTCCCCCCCCCCCCCCCCTCGAAAACCGAGTGGGGGTGCGGACAGTGGTGGGGACGGTGTTGGTGGGGACAGTGGTGATGGGGACAGCGGGACAGTGGTGGGGACAGTGGGACAGTGGGACAGTGGTGGGGACGGTAGTGGTGGGGACAGTGGTGGGGACAATGGTGGGAACAGGGGGGACAGTGGACAGTGGTGGGGACGGTGGTGGTGGGGACAGTGGTGTGGGGACAGTGGGAATGAGGTGGAAACAGTGGGACAGTGGAGGGTACAATGGTGGTGGGGACAGTGGTAAAGGCGGTGGCGAGGACGGCGGTGGGACAATGGGACAGAGGTACAGTGGGGACAGTGGTGGGGACAGTGGGGACAGTGGTGGGAACAGTGGGACAGCTCAGTGGGACAGCGGAGGAGTCAGTGGGACAGTGGGGACAGTGGGGATAGGCAGTGGTTGGGTCCGTGGAGACAGTGGGGAGAGTGGAACCGTGGTGGGAACAGTGGTGGGAACAGTGGGGACAGTGCGACAGTGGTGGGGGCACTGGTGTGGACAATAGGGACGGTGGTGGAACCAGTGGGGACAGTGGTGGTGAGGACAGTGGTGCTGGGAACAACAGTGGGGGATGTGATGCGAGCGGTGGTAGGGACCGGGAGTCGTTTGCTGGCGGTGCGTGGGGGGGGGGTCGAACCGGCAGTGACGCCCCTCCGGTTTTCGAGGGGGGGGGGGGTTCCAACCGGTAGTGACCCCCCCCGGTTTTCCGGATCCGGAGGGGGGGGGGTGGAGGAGTTCGA